GGTTAGGGGTACTTTGAATGTGATTTTCCTGCTTCTTGGCAGAGGGTTGGACTGGATGGCCCATGAGATCTCTTCCAATTCTATGATTCTGGAATTAATGCAGTTTTGATATATCAGTGTAGATCCAGCCTGAAATCAACTACTTAACTGAGGTCCCTTCCATACTCCCTTTTATCTCAGGATCTGATCCCAGATTATCTGCTTATCTCAGATTATCTGGCAGTGTTGACTCATATAATCCAGTTCAAAGCAGATAATCTGGGATCAGATTCTGAGATATAGGGCCATGTAGATCCAGCCTAAGTAGTGTCTTTAGGCCTAATTCATGAGAGGAGGATAATAACATTAGTCTACTGTGCCCCAAATCAATTGTTTCATACTCTATATTCATGCAACATATACGTTGCGCTATTGCTGCTGGGTACTACTGATTTAATGAATTTTCCTGAGGACAATTATGGTAGGTAGCTAGACAGCTTCATAAAGGAGGATGTCTTTCTTATCAGATTTCCACCACACATCCTGTCTACAAGAAGGTTGTGATCTTCCTTCCTGCTAGCATGATGGTGATAGTACAGGTTCTTATTTTCATAACATGTGGCAGAATTGGTTTTCAGATTTTAACATGAGCCAGAATTATTTTTTAAAAAAATCTGGAATCATGTTTCAAAGCTCATTCAGATTCTGTCATTTGAATAAATTATACTAAATGATTGATTTTCCGCTGCAGAAAATGGCAATATTCTCCTCCAGCCTGGTTCAGTACTGTTTAGTTCTTTCATCTTTTTTGCTTTAGTGCCAACTAGATGTGATATGAAGTTCATCCTTGGCAGGTACGTGGAGTTTTTAAGGAAAATGAGTGGAAAGTGCATCAGGATTATAGGACATTTAACCATGGGTTCATCTACACCGTAGAATCAATGCAGTTTGGTATCACTTTAACTGCTATGACTCAGTGCTAAGGAATCCTGGGAGTTGTAGTTTTATAAGGTTTTTAATTATCTGTCGCAAAGATTGCTGGTGTGTCACCAAACTTCAGCTGCCACGATTCCATAGCATTCAGCCATGGTAGTTAAAGTGGGTAAAAGTGTGATAGCTGGGACCTAGCGCTGGTAGTGCCATGCTGGTTGCACAGCGCGGCTCTCACGAGACTATGTTTCCCTGTTTCCCTTCCCCCTTTCTACCGAACTACCTTGTTGACTCTGTGCTGTGTCTTACGCACGTGTTCCCTTCTCTAATTCAGAGCTGTGTTACACAACCAGCATAGTGCAGGTCCCAGCTATCATACTTTCACCCCCAACTGTTTATCACCCTGGAAGTGAATTTCTCATAGTATTTATGACAGCTTCTTACTGGGATAGTGAGGTTGTAGTGTTTGGTTATAAGGACCACAGAAAAGAAGGAAAGAGTTAAACTTTCCTGGGGCCCCTCCACACAGCCAAATAACCCAGAATATCAAGGCACAATATCTGCTTTGAACTGAATCCACATTGCCATATACCCAAGTTCAAAGCAGATAATGTGGGATTTTATTCAGCTGTGTGAAAGGGGCCTTGCTCTGTGAGAAGCAATTCGGACGAAATCTGTCACTGCCTGCCAGCTGTTTATTTTTCCAGAACAGTAATGAGTTTGGTCAAAGCAAACAGTTATTTTACAACCCAGCAAGGTTTGCAAATGCATTTTCTGATTCCAAATTTTAAATGTTCTTTCTAGGATGCTCCAGAATAATTCAATGTCCATTTTGATAACATTTAGTTTTTTAATTTAGTGTGGCTAATATGGACTTTTGCAGGTAGGTAACCTAAGGCCAGGGACAAAAGTTTCAAGGAAGGAACAGACAGGAGATCTACTTTACATCCTATTTCATGGCTAATTTTGAATATATTAAGCAATCTCCATTAGCTCATAAGTATTGGAACATACAATAGAACCTTCCCTAAAAAACAAATTGGCAATGACATTTCAAAAATCTAGGCAAATCTGTAATGGTGGCACAAACACTTAGCTGGTTCTTTCCCAGCTACAAATGCTAGGAAAAGAGTACTATGTTGACAATATTTCTGGTACAGTATCTGAATTCAATTAATAGCAGAATGTGGGTGTTGCTGTTTCTCTGCAAGCTAAAAGTGAGCTAGAAGAAGCAAGATGGACTAGTCTTCCAAATAGTTTTTTTAAACTGCTACAGGCATTTTCTCACTGTGTCACATTCACAAAATGACAGATGCATATAAACAGGCACATATCCCAAAGTCAGAGAATGATTACACACAAATAGTACTTTCTAACTTCTAGTGATTGACACATCAGTTTCCCATGTGTCTTGTTCTACAAGTACACTCCTAACAACCGAGACTTGTGAGGCATATTATTTTGCTTGGCTTGCCCTAAAGTTCTAGTGATCCGTTAATGCAGTGGTTCTCGACCTGTGGGTCCCCAGATGCTTTGGCCTTCAATTCCCAGAAATCCTAACAGCTGGTAAACTGCAAACTGCCTGGGATTTTTGGGAGTTGTAGGGCAAAACACTGGGGACCCACAGGTTGAGAACCACTGCATTGATGGGATGGAGCATAATGCTTTTTCAACACTTCTTTTAAAAAAAAACTTTGCTAAATATTAATGTAACTTTATAATCTCTTTATTACTGTAATTCTTTGATTCTAAGATGCTCTTCCCCCCTCATATAAGCATCTGTAGAAATGGAATGTGTCTTAGGTCCCTTCTACACTGCCATGTAATCCAGATTATCAAAGCAGATAATACACATTATCTTCTTTGAACTGTGTTATATGAGTCTACATTGTCATATAATTCACTTCACAGCAAATAATCTGGATTTTATATGGTAGTGTAGAAAGGGCCTCCGAATCGTTGGTGATCTTTATATATGTGAAGTTTGTATTATAAATGTACCAAATTCCAAAAAATCAAAAAATTAGTTATCGGTGGCAGCACATTGTTGGCTAGGAGTAGAATATTATGTACAGACCAAAACTATCAAATTGCTTAGGTGCAGGGCTTGGAAAACTACATTTTAAAGCAAAAAATTGCATATTCTCAGTATGTTTTCCCCTGATTCCTGTATGATTTATAGAGATGGATTTGGTACCTTTTGGAAACAAGCTCCACATATATAAATGAAGTTTTTCTGTTGGTGGTGTCAAGAAGGAAAGAAATATGGTATATTTATGGCTGTTCTTTTCAGTGTAGATATCAAGCACATAAGATGGCTCATTAACATATGTGTTTCATGCATCATCCCTACTTTCTGCAAAAACCTGCCATTGTGAGAATATGACGTTCCCTAGTTCTACAGTATTTCTTCTTCTCCTGCCAGTTCCGTCACCAATAATGTAGAATTCCACTGAGTGCTAACCTTTAGCTCCCTCTGCAGGTACAGTGCTACCAAACTAAACAGTGGAGTCTGTCATACCATTACTTTTACAAATTCATTTCACTATTCTGTCTGTCTCCTAATAATGGAACTCAAGACATTTTATGAAAATCAAAGCAAATATAATCATAAGCATATAACAAAGAAAAACATAAAAACTTGTTAAAATACAGTCAATGCACAGAGTGAACACCCTTTAAAACAGAACCATTAAAAGACAAGAATTTAAAAAGCAGCAAAACAACACATCATTAGAAGTTTGATAAAATTTGCAGGATCAAAAAATAACTGTCATTCTGTCAGACAATTTAAATAGTGCATTGGGCTCTTGGTATCCATTGCATTTTGGTTCCACGATCTGTTATGGATACTAAAATCCTTGGAGGTTCAAATCCCATTATATACAATGGCAGAATAAAATGGTGTCTCTTATATATAATGGCAAAATCAAGATTTGATTTTGGATTTTTTTTTCTGGGGAAAGGAATAGTTGAATATGTGCATAGTTGAATCTGTGCATGCATAATCTGTCAATATGGAGGGTTGAATGTATACTCTCAAGACTTTGCATTGAATTCCTAAAAACCTGTCAGAACCAGAAAATTATTCCTTATTGCCTGACGGACAGCAAGGAAAGAGCCATCTTACGGCCCTTCCACATAGCCATATAACCCAGAACATCAAGGCAAATAATCCACAATATCTGCTTTGAAGTGGATTAATGTAACTGTTTATTTTTAATCAATTGTTTGATTTATATAGCATTGAATTGTTGCCTGTCTGTAAGGCTGCTCTGAGTCCCCTTCAGGGTGAGAAGAGCAGGATATAAATATGGTAAATAAATATTAATGAATACTCCACACAATTCCAAATACCAGAACAAGGTTGAAAAGTTATGACCCTTCAGATGGTAGGTTCATCTTTCTGTCAGGCCCAATAAGTTGGCCAGGGATAAAGAATGATGCTAGTAGTAGTTCATCAATGTCTGTAGGGCCCATGATTCCCCATTCCCAGTCTTAATACATGGGATCTATGTAGCATCATTCTAAGGTACTGTAATAATAGATGCATTACAACACACCACTCTTTTGTATTGAATCAAGACACAGGAGTAATGGAAGGCTGAAGTTCATGCAAGTGAACTGTTAATTAAAATAGCAACTAAAAAGTAGTAGCACGGATAAATGTTTGTCGTCATGCTTGATACTCAGAGTCTAAAGTTTGTGTAGACAACTTGCAACCCCTCGCTCTGATTTCATAGTTTTCGATCCTTATGTATTTGCTGAACTGCTCTTTCTGGAGCCAAAAAAGTGTGAATTACTTCTCATGGAAGCCTTCAGGAGCAATCATACACCTCTACAAGGGATTGCCTATGATGATGACCAATTCAAATGTTCAATAAGTTACAGAGCTTGCCTGCAGGAAAGAAAACTATCTGATCTTTTAAGAAATCCGCTTCTGACTGCTTAATTGTTTAGGAAGCATGCTTTTTGATGTAATCGCTATTTTGGCAGCCTGTATGTTTCTCAGAACGTCCAATGACAGAAGAGTGTTCCACACTACAGTTGCTTTCCATCCGGTCTAATGCTTTCTTGCTTCCATCTTGCAGGTGTTCCTTTCCCCAAGAATTTCCAGCAAGTTTGCACCAAGATGCTCACTCGCCTCTTCAGGGTCTTTGTCCATGTCTATATCCACCATTTTGACAGCATCATCAGCATGGGTGCAGAAGCTCATGTCAACACCTGCTACAAGCACTTTTACTACTTCATCACTGAATTTAGTTTGGTTGACCAAAGGGAATTAGAGCCTCTGGTAAGAACACTGATATTGCCATGCCTCCATTTCTCTCTTCACCCTTTTTCATTTAAGGATAACCTATTCTAGAAATATATAGCATAGATGGCACAACTTATGAGTTTATCAAGTTCATATATACTCGTTGTTGAGTATCTTTATGTCATTAGGGCAAAGTTGTACCAAGGTTTTCTTGAAAGGATTTGTTTTGGGGCTTCTTGGCATTGCTTTCCTTTGTGGCTGAGAATGTGTGCCTTGACCAAGGTTGTTTATGGGTTTCCATGTTTATGGGTTTCCATGACCAAGGTTGTTTATGGGTTGTTTATGGGTTTCCATGAGCACAGATTTGAGCTCTGGTTTCTCAGGATCCTAGTCCAACATTCAGATCACTTTGGTTCTATCTAAAGATCGATTTTAATTGAAGTTAAAATATAGGCAAGATCCAAACACTACCACAGCTCATATTCATATGTGTGTGTGTGTGTGTGTTTTTTCTGCACTCAGATATTATAAAATGCACAATTCAACTCCCTTCCTCCCCTCTCCTACTATCCTGTGCCATGGGATATGGTTACACGTGCTCGGGTCATTTAGATCATAATAGACTATGAATTGGAAGCAAGGGTAGGAAATATAGCCTCCCCACTTCCCTACTCCTAGTTTAAGGCATCCACTGTGAAATGGAAAATCAGAAGATGCATTCCACAACAATGATACCCACCCTCTTCCTATCATGAGTCCTGATTATTTCATAGTGTCTGTCTAAAGGAAGGATACTCAAGTGTCTTCAGCTAATCTTAGATAAGGGCCTTGGCAGATTGAAAGTTTTTAAAGGTGTTGAGATGAAATGCTTGAAAGTGGAACTAATTCTTATTAGAAAGTTCTGGTACTGGGAAGATGTTCCATCCTATTCTTGGACACCTATTCCATCCTATTCTTGGACATTCATTTATCTGAAATGATTATTAGTCTCTCATTTGGATTCTTCCTCTCCATAGCAACATACACTGGAAGAGTAGACAAAGAAAGCCATTCTTTCTGCAATAAGCCTGCCTGATGATAGAAGGAAAACATCAAAGGCTACAATTCTGTGGAGTGGTTGCAATGCATGTGCGACTTCTCTTATCCCTATATAAGAATCTTTACCAAGCAGATGCTATTGTTAACTGTATATGGGTCCTATTGTCCTTGAGATCTAGTCACCTTATGTTTCCACTAAAAAGATTTGGGCTACAAACCTAAGTATGGATTCTTGGGATTATGGACACAATGGGACTGCTCCTGAGTAAATATGCCTAAATTTATGCTGTCACTGGGTTGTTGTAGGTTTTTTTGGGCTATATGGCCATGGTCTAGAGGCATTCTCTCCTGACGTTTCGCCTGCATCTATGGCAAGCATCCTCAGAGGTAGTGAGGTCTGTTGGAACTAGGAAAAAGGGTTTATATATCTGTGGAATGACCAGGGTGAGACAAAGGACTCTTGTCTGCCGGAGCTAGGTGTGAATGTTTCAACTGACCACCTTGATTAGCATATAATGGCCTGACAATACATAGAGCAAACTTTTGAGAGGTAATTAGATGTCCTTGTTTGTTTCCTCTCTGTTGTTGTGCTGTTGTAATTTTAGAGTTTTTTTAAATACTGGTAGCCAGATTTTGTTCATTTTCATGGTTTCCTCCTTTTTGTTGAAATTGTCCTCATGCTTGTGGATTTCAGTGGCTTCTCTGTGTAGTCTGACATGGTGGTTGTGAGAGTGGTCCAGCATTTCTGTGTTCTCAAATAAAATGCTGTGTCCAGGTTGGTTCATCAGGTGCTCTGCTATGGCTAATTTCTCTGGTTGAAGTAATCTGCAGTGCCTTTCATGTTCCTTGATGCGTGTCTGGGCGTTGCGTTTGGTGGTCCCTATGTAGACTTGTCCACAGCTGCATGGTACACGGTAGACTCCTGCAGAGGTGAGAGGATCCCTCTTGTCCTTTGCTGAACGTAGCATTTGTTGGCATTTGTATTTGTAGCATTTATGCTGTCATTTTTTCTTTGATCCTTATGGGTATTAATTTAGAAACATCTCAATTTATGCAGCTCCTTCTCATCACATTCTGACAGGGTTATTTATCATGATATGTGCCTTCTATTTATACTTCACCTGTGTAGAAGAGTTAAATCTGATATATGTCATGAAACCTCACTGCAGATCATAAAATCATATAAAATCTTTCATTTTTGAAACTAGATAATTTCCTAGCCATTGTGGTGGTGAAAAAAGATGGAATTTCCATGCAATTACGCATTGTAACGTAGAGGAAGGCTTTTTAAACTTTTTCCACTTACAATTACTTCCACTTGAGAATTTTTTCTGTGACCCCAGATATATAGATATATAAAATAGCTATAAAATAATAAATCAGCATTTCCAAGGTTTACTAAACAGGCTGATTTCCCTTTTTGTGGTTTACAACTGAAACATTTTTTTTTTGCAGAGTCCACTGTAAACACTGCACATTGTTGCTAACAGATTAGTGTGAATGGGTGGCATTCAGAAACTTTTACAGTTGCTTAAATTTTATGTTACTTGAGCTAAGGGGTCCCCATTTGGGGTCGGAACTCACAGTTTAAGAAGCAGTGACCTAGAGCCGTGGTTCTCAACCTGTGGGTCCCCAAATGTTTTGGCCTTCAACTCCTAGAAATCCTAACAGCTGGTAAACTGGCTGGGATTTCTGTGCGTTGTAGGCCAACAAAACACCCGAGGACCCACAGGTTGAGAACCACTAACCTAGAGGATAAGTGAGATAAGCAGAGCTCTGGAAATGTGCACATGAGTGTGAAAGTTCGGCCTCATTTCTACAGTTCTTTTCATTCTACACATTTTCACACCAACCTGTATGCCTCACAGTTGTTACATTGTTGTAGCAAATAGAAATAGAAAGATTCACATTCACCAGGTAGGGCATATATTGACAGGAAGGTGGGTTTAGCATGACTGTGTGGTAGAGCAAACTCAGGGCAGTGTGTTGCCAAAGCAGCACAATAGTACAATTGCAGAAAATTGTATTTTTTATTTCTGCTGCAATTACACAATTATGACAAAATGACTTTTTTTAAAAAGAAAAGAAATATAAAAGAAAATTAAAATGGAGCATAAGAAATCACACCTTTCTTGGAAATATCAAGGAGAGAACAGGAGAATCATGCTCACTTAAGCAATGCGACTAGAGCAATATTGCATCTAGATCAGTGGTTCTCAACCTGTGGGTCCCCAAATGGGAAAAAAAATACATAGTGTTTGTTCAACCGTATGAATTGGTGAGGGGCTATTTAAAGGAAGTAATAAGAAAGAGAACAAGCTCTCTTTCCGCCGCCCTAGAGACTAGGACTCAGAGGAAGAACTTCCTGAACATAAGAGCTGTTCAGCAGTGGAACTCACTGCTCCAGAGTGTGGCAGAAACTTGTTCCTTGAAGGCTTTTAAAGCAGGCTGGATGGCCATGTGTCAAGCGTACTTTTGTGCTTCTCCTACATGACGGAGGGTTGGACTGGATCATCTATGTCAGTGGCTCTAAACCTGTGGGTCCCCAGATGTTTTGGCCTTCAACTCCCAGAAAACCTAACAGCTGGTAAACTGGCTGGCATTTCTGGGAGTTGTAGGCCAAAAACACCTGGGGACCCACAGGTTAAGAACCACTGATCTAGAGGCATTACTTAATAAAGCAGTGATTTTGGGAGTCATTGGCAGATTTTATCCATCAACAAAAAGAGGTGTTCCACTAGTGGTTGAAATGCAAGGCAGCAACAGAAGAAACAAGACATTGTCTGATAAGTAGAAGCCAGACACACTATTATTCTGCTTAATTGCGATTTATCAGCATCATGTGATAAAGCATAATGATTTTCTTCCTTTTCAGGAAGAAATTGGCAGTTGTAACCAAGCTATTACTCGCAATAATCTTCTGAATTGTTCCACACCCCCACTGTTTGGGGAAATAGCACTAAGATACTGTTGATTGCTCAAACCACTTGAATGTACTTATTTCATATCTAATAGAGAGTTGGGTCTAGGAAAGCTTAGCAATTTATCCAGCATACCTGATTGTTTTCTAAAGTGTTTACATATTTACAAAAGCACTTTTGCATAGATTCTCTTTCTCCAGTTCTACAGGATAAAATATCCTTGCTGGCAAGGAATATTTTATTGAAACCTTTTCAGATGTGTTGATCGCTTGCCCTTCAATGATTTCCCCCCTTTTATTGTCTATATTTATTACAATGAATGGCTGAATTCTTTTTGTCTAACTTTAAACATGTGTTTTCTAAGCAAACAATAATTTGTTTTAGTGGGAAAAATCAGTGTTGCAATCAATAACAACTTTCAACAAGATCCTGGTTTATGTCTATGAAAGATAGGAGATGTCCCCAACTGTGCTCTGGGGATAGTTTTCAGTAGAATGAATATTGGCTGACAGAGATGTGTCACTATTATGTCAAGGGGAGAGACAATCTGAAGGAAATAAAGTAAGTTGATGTAGAATTCCTGCCAAAATGTACAAAAAGAAATGAAGACAAAGAGTGGAAATATAAAGAATGAGAAGGAAGCCTGAGCCTTTCAATCTAAGCACAAAACGTGATGAGAAACAGTAGCAATTTCCCTGATGTTTCCTTTTCTAATTGCTTCTCAAGACAACAACTTTAGTGAGAATATAATAATTCAGATTATTGATGGCATCTTTTTATAAGGCAAAGGTAAAGGTTTTCCCCTGACATTAAATCCAGTCGTGCCCGAATCTGGGGGTTGGTGCTCATCTCTATTTCTAAGCTGAAGAGCCAGCATTGTCTATAGACACGTACAAAGTTAAGGGGCCAGCATGACTGCATGGAGTGCCATTACCTTTCCGCTGAAGTGGTACCTATTGATCTACTGAGATTTGCAAGTTTTTGAACTGCTAGGTTGGCAGAAACTGGACTAACAGTGGGAGCTCATGCCGCTCCCTGGATTCGAACCTGCGATTTTTCGGCCAACAAGTTCAGCAG